CGAAACTTCTTACAAAGCGCACGCGAAGGTAATTTCACGAGTGTGTTTATTTTACGGTGCCTTGCCGGCGGCGAGAGAAGAATAAGAAATAACTTCTTTCCTGCAACAGTCTTGAATTTAACCATATTTCATTACCGCTTGTTGGCAGTTGACACAAGTCCATATTCCACACGTCCACAAATTAAAATATATATTTGAAATTGAATGAATTCGTTTATTTAAATAATATTTAATTGGCCAAGGAAAGGTCTGGAAATTAATTTGAATTTAGAGAGAATGAAAAAGCTTTGGAGAATTTTCAACCCTGTTGCTTATTGCGGCTTATTGTAGAGAAGAATGTGAAATACAAACGTAGTTTTTTGCTCCAGTTTTTATTGGCGACGTGATGGATGATGTCATAAATATCGTGTGCCGGGCCAAGAAATTCTAAAGGCATGCACTTCCCATTTTTGCAATAATAAACTGCTCTTATCTTCAATAGCAATGAATAGCAGTCGTGCTGATAAGGAGGAAATTTAAAGAGAAAGGACTTTAATCCAAACTGTTAATAAGGCCTTTAATCCAACTGTTAAATTCCCTGGAAATTAAAATATTTCTTTTTCTTATTTAACTTTGGGAATGTTTTTGAAAAGTTCCCCATACGATCAATGAAAATTTTCAAGTCAAGATTCTTATTGATGTCATTTTGCCAATTAATTGTGGTGATATGGACGGATTTTGGTGAGATTTTTATCAAATTTTATCAGAAATATTTTTTGGGACTAAAATTATTTAAGAAGATTCTCGAATGGTCATTTTCAAAAATTTTATTCTTTAAATGAATTCAATTTTTCTTATCATGTCCCCTTGAACCCGAAATTTTTAAATTCAAATCAACCAAAAAAAAATTAAGTTTCTACAGTTTTCTTCAAGTAAATTCATAATTTTAAGATTTTGTTTTCTTTAGAGTTCTTTAGAAATTAATTAAAGAGACGGAGTGACACTTTGTTAAATCTTGAATCTCTCTCTACAAAATTTTCGATTCGTTGTCTATCTGCGTTCCTAGCTCTCACGTGTGTCCGGCGGACGAGCAATGTTTCCGCTCGAGTTGCCGGTCGCAATGCTGGTCAATCACGAGCAGAGCGTGCAGCAGCAAAAGAGCGGCCCGAAAAATTAATCCGTTAACTGCGCGCGCGATTCAAATTATGTATACGTGCAAGAGCGCGGCGAGCAAATAATTTAAATATAATTAGTCGGCTGCGCCGGTGTGCGGTGTTTGATTTGAAAACGAACACACCAAATAAAAAGAAAAAAGAAAGAAAAACGCGCCGCTCGTGAAAACACATCACGCTCGGTGCACACGCGCAGAGTCAACGAACCCGTTCTTGTTGGGCGCTCGATCTGGAGGCTGTGGGGCTGGAGCCGGCGTCTGAGTGAGTCACGCTCGGTGCCACCCCCCGCCTCCCCGCCGGGAAACCACCCCTTGTAAGAGCACTATTGAAGCAGCAGGGTGGTTTCGAGCGAGGCAAACAAGGCGGTGCTCGTAATAAGCCGCCCGTCTGGCCAAGTCGATCCATACAAGCATCAATATTTTTATATAATTCTTTTGTCTTTGCAATTTCAAGTGTATAATTAACAAAAATTAAATCCTCAAGGTAATTTGCAAAAATTTTAAATTGTCAGCCAGCAAAATTCCCTTTTAACTGCGTTAATTTGGTTTAATTAACAGTTTTAATTTATACTTTTATTAATACAAATAATTTTAAATTCTTTCTTATTAGTATTTTAAAATAATTACGTTGAATTTTAAATTATTCTTTTACATATTTTTACTTTTATTTTAAATATTTTCAAAACAATTGCATACAATTATTCCCATGAATGCAACAGATTTTTGTGTTATCCTTGAGAGAAAATCAGAAATTTAAAATAATTCAAATAAACATGAAGTCGAAATAACTGGGTTCAATCAATTTATTCTTGAGAAGTTTTTATTGAGGAAGTTTTTTTTTTTACTTATTTCATGTTCTTGTAATGTGAGAAGCATTGATTAGAGCCGATATTAAATTAATATTTGTGTGCAGGAAAATCCCACGTGGCACTTGCATAAGCCATTTTAATATTGCTCAACAGCCCTTCTTGTGTTCTGTGGTGTTGGTGTGGTGTATACCCTCGTGACAGATTCACAGTTCGCGTCGTTTGATGTTTGATCACCCTGCGGTGGTAACATAAGATATAAAATATAAACCTGCATCTCAATACTTGACACTGAGAGCAGCAAACTTACCGCACTCGGTCTTTATCGCCATTTTTACCGCACCCGTAAAAGAAACAATTACGCCAGAAAAGTGAGAATCATTCGTCATATTATCAAGAAATTCAATATTGCTTATTTAATTTTCCCACAAAATCTGGAATTTCACAATAACAATTTTAATTTGACATTTACAAGAGAAATTTACAAACAAATTTTATTTGGACTTATTTATAAATTATTTAATCAAATTTTCTATTTATTTTGATGTATTTTATTGAAAGGACAAAAGGAAATATTGGCTTGGTTAAATTTATTGATATTTATTTGCATGATCCGCATGGACAAATGTTTTGGTAACATTATATGAAAACGTGCATTATGTACTTCTTGATTTATATCGTGCATGTAATTCAACAGCAACCATCGCATGCCACATATGTAACGAAAAAGGTCATAAACGGACTTGGAAAATCGAAACCCAAAAGAAAAAAGCTCATGCAGCAGCGAGTTCAATAAAGAGAACCTCGAGTGACTTATGCCGTCTGGGGAATAATTTTCCAAAAAGCAATTTTACTTTTATTACAGACGAAATATCTCATTTTTATTAAATAAAATTTGTATTATTTCTTTCTCTTTCCACCAAAAGGAAGAAAGTGATACGGTTCTTTCAACCGCTGCAATTACACGAGAGAAGCTGAGAAGAAAAATCTCACACACGTGAACTTCATTCTCACAGTCTTCTCTTTAAAATTACTGGGAAAATACGTCGATGGTAAAAGTTTGAGATGAGCAGGGTTTCATATTATTTGTATCCTTCCACCTGTGTCGGTCTTGTTATGAATGAGAATCTATTTCATTTTCCCTTCCATGTAAATGTCAAGACATTTAAACACACGACAGCGAGGGAACAAGAGGTGGTTTTCGACTCACCGTAATTTAAGTAGAGAGTTGAGAGAATCCCATAATTTATTTAACAAATTTTCGCCCCAAGTAAAATTGACGCTTTCCATGATGATTCTTCACTAACCACATATTTAAAATAAATATCTATAGCTGCAATTAGGCTTTATTAATAAGAAAGTGCGGAGCTGATGATGGTCCAATTTGGGACTAATTTGAAAATTATAGATCTTGCTAGTAGGGACACGCCTAGCTTCTGGTTGATTTAATCAGTTGGATTTGAAAATCACTCATTTATAAATATGATTGGTGCTAATCAATCAAAGAAAGTTGATTCTGAAGAATTGACGGAGAAAGCAATAAAATGTAAATTTTGTGTGAAAATTAAACATGAGCTAAAAATTTAAGAAGTAAAATTGTTCAGCTTAAATCAACTTATTCAAAAAAATTAAGACCTTCTTCAGCTTCATTATTTAATTACTTCTGCAAAAATTGCACTCAACCATTACAATAATTGTGTTATTTTAAAAATAATTTTTGTGAACCTCTTTAAATTTCTATGTCAAAATTCTCTCCGATGTAAAATCTAAGGAAAGTATAAAAAAAATAAACTATTGGAGGAATTTAATAATTAATAAGAATAGAGGCGATAAAGCCCCGTATGAAGTGTGGAATTTTCGGCGTGACCTAATGCGAAATGAATCAAAAGGTGGATAGGTGATCAGCAATTATTGGCTTCAAGGTTGCGCATCCGCTGCCGTGTGTGTGTGTTTTATGCATCCGTCCCACTCTCTGGGAAACGCAATTAGCCTTAGCAACAAACACACACACACACACACATGCGAGGTGATTTCATTATCCGCTTGCTGAATGCGCTCGTTTCCAGCCCAATTATTGCGTCACCGTGAGCTGCAGACCCACCCGCAAAAACTGGCAACCCACCCACGTAGAGTAGCAAACGCGCACCACTTCGCGCGAATAATAAATGCATCTGCTTTGAATAGGATAAAACGCCGCAGCCAACCTACTTATTGCTCTTGTGTGTGGCTAAAGCCGAATCGATCTGCGCTCTAAAACTAATTCCTCCTAATCGCCTCATGCTACTTAATTGGGGAAAACTTATGAGTGCCAATTGAATTCATGTCTAAAATTATAAATCTAAAAAAAAAAATTGTGAAGATTAAAGAATAAAATGAAAATGCATAAAATTAAATAATAAAGACCATTTTTTACATGCGAGAACTCTAGGAAAACAATTTATTTCATGACACATGACCAGTTTAAAAAATGCTTAAATTAGAAATTTTTATTATATAATAAATAACTTATAAATGTTAAAATATTTATTTAATTATGAATAATATTGTTCAAACAAATATTTATTATTTAATAATGTTAAGAAGTAATTTTAAAATAATATGAAATTTTAATAAAATTACAGCAGATATTAGTTAAAATAAATTTTATAAACAAATACAGGAGGTGGATGTCAATTTAATTCAAATAATTTTGCAACTTTTTTTATGATTGACTGTATCACAATTTAAACTGCAAACTTTTTTAATAATAGTTTCATTTCTGCAAAACGTTGCAATCAAATACAAATTGTGCCACAACTCATTACAAATTTGCTATAACGGTAACTTCGCTCTAAGGAAGGACATGCCTAATAGGCATCAAAATAATCAGTAGCGATCGAACGCCAAAAATGACTGCAGTTTATAGCAATGAGTGGCTATATTAATATTATAATATTATCCCACTTATCTGAATTTGGAGAATTTTTAGATACTTATTTGGATTTATTGCATGAGACATTAAGTTGCCGTTTTATTAATTTATTTATTTTATTTTCTCTTTTTAGTTTTGAACGAGTAAAATTGAGCAGCAGGCATGACCAACTTGCAGGTATTTTTTGTTTTTATTATTTAGTTTGATTGATTTCCTTTGTAAATACTTGAGACACTTTCCAACAGCACTCGCAATCCAATTAATTGGAACAAAATACTTTTTGCCAATTTCCACAGCTGGCTTTCCGAGGGGTGCGCAGCTCAAAATTTCGCCATGTTTACGGGCAGCCTGTGCGCCGGGAGCGATGCTACGACAACATCAAAATAACCCGAAACGCGCACGACGCCCTTTTCTGCGCGGTCAACCCCAAGTTTGTGGCCATCGTGACCGAGGTGGCCGGAGGAGGCGCCTTTGTTGTCCTGCCCATTTCTCAGGTAAATAATTTACTTCTCAAAATCAAAACTTTTACAACAAATTTTAATTTCCAAAATGGTAAGATGATTCAAATTCATTTTAAGCAGCAGAATTTTCGATTTTGAGATGAATATAATAACATAAAACTCTTTTAATATTTTTTATTTTAAAATAAAAATTAACAAAATAATTAAAATTTAATTTATAAATTGCGTAGACCGGGCGGCAAGAATTCAACGCAGGTAGGGTGGTTGGACACTCAGGTCCAGTCCTTGACATAAAGTGGGACCCTTTCAACGACAACATCATCGCTTCAGCTTCAGAGGACTGTTCGGTAAGTTTTGATTGATTTTGAAACCAAGTTTTGAATTTTTAGTAATTAAATTACAAGATTACAACTCCCATTTCAAAAATCATCTCTATATTTCTGAACTAGGATGACAAAAAATGCAATGATAAAAATTTCAGTGCATCAAGTGTTTATTGATTGAAATTTAAAATCAACTTCAGTAAAAAAATATCAGTCGTTTTGCGCTCCAGGCGCCACTTGTTCTTCACTTGCGCTGCTTTTTGCGCTTGTGATCGTTGCGGAACATGTTCTTTTCTTTGCGAAACTCGGCCAGCTCTTCTTTGAACTGCTCGAACAACTGCTTCAGTCTGTCTAGCTTGTCCCTGAGTTTCTGCTTCTTGAGGCGCACCATCGGGCCGAAGGTGGCCGGATACTCGCCGGCCTCCATTCCGTACAACTGGATGCTCAGGTACTCCAGCTCCAGTTTGCCCTTCTTGACGGCCGCCAGCAGCTTGTCCCGGCGCTCCTCGAGGTTGCGCATCTTTGCAGAGTTGCGCAGCGCCTCGACCATTCGCCGCTTCTCCTTCAACCGCCGCTTCTTCGCACGACTGAAATTCTTGTAAACCTGAAAGAAATTATTATTTTTTTTTTAATTTTCTGCAACTTTCTCCCATCAAGATGAAAAAAAATCCGTTTAAATTTGACAATTTTTGTAGTTAGAGTTGAAATTATTTTGGGAAATTTTTTCTCACCTCTACGGGGACGCTTTGGTTGATGCAGCGCGAGACGGGCCAGCGCTCTTGCTGAGGCCTCTGGGTTGTCCGCACCGGACGCATGTTCTGCATGTCCATGCGAATCTCGCCTGCTCGGTGCGTGACCGGATTCGGGCCGCTCAAATTGGGCCACTCGAAAACCTGCGAGCCCTGAACCACGAGCAGTCTTCGGGGGCCGTTGCCACCTCCGGCCGCTCGTTGACCTTCGGCGTACGCGTAGTCGTAAACGGGCACAGCGTCCACTCGACCTGCCTAAATATGATTGATTATTTAATTGAAATAAATATTAAACATGAAAATATTTCAAACTAGCTACCATTGTGGGGAATCTCGGTTTCTCGAAGGTCGATTTCAAGACTCGTCAAGGGTGATGTGTCGATTGCAGGGATCTTGCATGCTGATTAGTTAATCGGTTTGATTTGGAGCCGTATTTCCACCTCCTGGAAATGATCCTTGGAAATTGCAGATGCGGACGCCTCTGAGAATTAAGCAAGCTTTAAAATCTGGTTTGCACGAAACTGAACGCGAACATATGACCGACCGACAGACGGAAAACAAGAAGGAGGGCGTGGCCCTTCACGGCGTTGACGCGCCAAATAGTTCCTTCTTTGGCCGATAGAGGCGTATTTTTAACCTTTTCCCTCAATCAAAGCAGATCGAGAGCATCCGAACACAATCATTTTGAAACTTTTTAAAATGATTGACTTTGATTTTGTTGAAATTTTTCTCAATTATCAATAAATTCAATTTTATGTTACATGCAAAATATTTTATTTAGTATTCAAAGATATTTTTATTTCTTTTTAAAATATAAATCTTATTTTAAAAATGAATTATTATTATTATTATTATAATAATGAAAAATTATTTTTATAATTTTAGGTGAAGCTGTGGCACATCAAAGATGAAGGTTTCGGCGATCATCTTGAAGATTGGCTGGCTGAGCTGCGCGGACACCGCCGACGAGTAACCCAGGTAATTAAAAAAATTTTATTGCACAATTTTTTTTTAATTTTTTTATTAAAATAATAATATTTTTTTATCAGATCGAGTGGCACCCGGTAGCTCAGTCGGTGCTTTTTAGCGCTGGAGCAGACGGTTTGGTGGTTGTGTGGACGGTGGCTAACGGAGGGGCCATTCTTAATGTCATCGACTGCCATCCTGAGGCCATCCAGTGTCTCTCCTTGAATAGGGACGGCAGTTTAATTGCCACCACTTGCAGGGACAGGAAACTAAGGTATAATAAAAAAATTAAAGAAAATACTATTTTTTTAATTCATTTCTCAGAGTAATTGAACCGAGGACTGGAGCCGTGGTTTCATCTGGAGAGTGTCACGAAGGCATCAAGCCATGCAAAGTCGTGTTTCTTGGCGAGTCGGGCAGATTGCTGACGACCGGTTTCTCAAGGCATTCTGACAGGCAATATGCCATTTGGGACCAGGACGATCTGAGAGAGCCCCTGAAGAAGGAGACCATCGACTCGTCTTCGGGAGTGCTCTTCCCGTATTATGACTATGACACCCAGATCATCTACCTAGCAGGAAAAGTTAATATTTCAACTCCAATTTCGAGAAGTAAATTTAAAAATATTTTTTTTTTAAAGGGCGACGGCAACATCCGATATTACGAAGTGACCCCGAATGCGCCATATCTCCACTACCTGAGCCAGTTTCTGTCAGGCCACCCGCAGAGGGGTCTTGGCGTGATGCCCAAGCGCGGTTTGGACGTGCGCCAATGTGAGATTTTCCGCTTTTACAAGCTGCACGCCACGAAAGGTCTGTGCGAGCCAGTGTCCATGATTGTACCAAGAAAAGTAAGTTCTGTAAGTGTCCGTGTGTATTTTTTTTTTATTCTGCTTTTATTTGGTGCGGAAATTTTCATTAAAATTTTCTAAATAAATCAATAATTTATTCCATCAAATACAGAGCGAGCAGTTCCAAGAAGACCTGTTTCCGGACACTGCCGCGGCCAAGCCGGGGTTGACTGCGGACGAATGGGCCAGCGGAAGGAACAAGTCTCCGGTGCTCATGTCAATGAAGACTGGTGACGTTCGAGGAGTTGCGAACCAACAGAACCAAGCCAACAACAAGAACTCGCCAAGCAAGGGCAACAAGAAGCCTGTGCTGGAGGAGAAAACAAATTCCGCAAACAACGCAATCACGAACAACAAGAAGAAATTTGCATTTCTTTCCCAAGAAACCATTCCTGACTACAGACCCATGGAGGTTGGTTTAAAAAATTAATATTTAATCTTAAAGGCGCTTTTCTATCTGTTTTTGTTCTTTTTGGTAGTTTTCGGATTTCTTTTGATTTTCGTTCATTATTTGGAGTTTTGGTTGGTTATATAATTTAGAACTGGTGGACAATGCTGATGGCCAGGGTCGGATTCCGTGATCTGCGAAGCAAAAGAAACTTGAGTTTGCTCTATGAAAGGGGGGCTGCTGCCGCTCTGGCACTTCTGCTTCATGTGCTGCACTTTCTGGTCCAACCAGGCCCACCTCTTGTGGCGCATACCGAACACCTTTTGATAAATTTCTATATCAGGGTTTGTCCTTTACTTTTGCTGCAGCTGCTGTGCTTGGATTTCCAATATTTATCAGTAGATAAAAAAAATTATTTTATTTTATATGCTCCCAATTTAATTACCAGCAAAAACTAAGCTTTTTTGGGGCTTCATTTGAGAAAATAATTATTTTATTTACTTAATTGTAATTTTGTGTCCTCAGATGAAAGAAAACGAGAAGTTGAGTGAGAAGAGCCACAAGACAAACCAAAACACCAAGTTCCAACAAATTCAACAGATGTTTGGCAGCAAACCAAACAGTAATTCCATTTTGGTGAGGTTTGGAAATATTTGGAGGAAATTTTTAATTAAATTTTACTTAAAATTTTTTAGAAGGATCAAAGTATCATGGAGGCCCTGCAACCAGAAAAGGAGATACTCATTATCGATGCCCCTAAAGACGAATTAGAGGTAATTTTTGTTTTGCATTTTGGTTGAATTAAAAGTCGAAACTTTACTCGATTCTATTCAGCTGAAGAAGGAGTATCTGCAGAAATGTGAGGAAGTTGTTCGGCTGAAACAGCAAATTGCCTCCCGAGACAAAATCATCAAGGAGCTGGAGTCCCAAGTGCACCGCCTCAAACTCAAGCATATTCATTAATTTAAATTAATGCCAGCAGAATTATTGTATAAATATTACTCCAATTGTAAAGAACTCAACACTCACATTCTTCAATGAAAATTGAACTAACTAAAACGTTGCTGCCTCTACTTGGACCCAGTCTCTCAACGGAGGTGCCCACTTGTAAAATATTTATTATTTTTAAGCTTCTTCAGTAGATATTAATTAAAAGCGTTTATTTGTATATGTGGTATATGTGATGTTGGTGATGCTATTGAGGGTATCAAAATTATTTAAACGCGCTGCTTCCATGAAATGGCATTTATGGCAATTTAAGAATTCCTATATTTTGCATCTGCACAAATCACATAATATATACGACTAAAATTTTTCGTAATAATCAGCAGATACAAAGCTGGCTTAGAATAAATGTCATTTTTTTTTTTCAAATATTTTACGAAACACATGTGATGTGCTTTTGATTGCAGCTTGCTTATTGCAAAATAATAAGCTTTAAGAAACCAATAAAGCCCATAGTCAAAGTTAAAACCTCTTTTCTTTACGACGACGGCACAACGGAAATGAATTGCATGCCTCATTCTCGCAACCAAATTTGTATTTTCTGGTCGAAATCCTGTCTTCTAAGTACTTACAATATTGCAAAATGTACATCATAATCAAATACAAAGTTCTGTAGGATTAATTGTCGGAACTATTTACACTCAAAATGTCTTGAGCACAATGCAGAAGAAAGATCATAAAAGACTTGATAGGCAAGCAAGGCGCTGGAAACACAAATGTTAATGTATTGAAAAACCAACAAACACATTGGTTAATTGAGCCACTTGTAAAAGCAAGGATGAAACTGAAACGATAAAGGAGAGATCGACTCCACCTTCACTTGCACTATTGCGCACTCTTAGTCAGCGATTGCAATTTCTGTCTGTACTTTTCAGCTTCTTGCTCCTTTTGCAGGAGCTGCAGTCTGTATTTCTCAGCATCACGCTGCGCCTCTGCTAGCTTTTGATGCACTAATTGCAAGTCATCGTCACTGCACTCCTTGCTCAACATCACTTTGTTCGATTTCATAATTCGGAGTGTCTTTGGCAAACTTCCATCGGAGTTGGAACAATCCTGCTGCAAAAGAAATTCATGGATCGTTACAAGAAAAAAAGAGTTACTTCATCAAGCATTACATTAACTCGTTTCATTGTCGTTGTACTAATAATTTTAGGGAGTGTTATTGTTGCTGCAGTAGTGCTTTTTGCATTCTTTTGGCCTTGCGTGTATAAATTGATCACTTTTCTACCTAAAATTTAAAAGAACTTGTAGATAATTTAATTAAATTTAAAAACAAACAAACCTGTTATGGCGGCAAATTGGTCAGCGGATATGGTCATGATGTTTGGCTTGCTGGACTTTGTTTTCGGGGTCGTGTTGCTGATGGCCCCACGTGTCAGGTTGAGAGCCATCTTTCCAGCTTCTACAGTAACATTTTTTGGTTGTAAATATTGATCCGATTAATGATAAAACAATTTGTTTCAAACCTGTAAGCACAACTGTCTGGCCACTTTCCATAGCCGAGGCCACAATGTTGGAGTCGTCGGCAGGCAACATCTGAATGCCATGGGATCGCAGGAACTGGATGTTGCTTTCGACACTCGACGCACTTGCGCTTGGTGCGGAGTAGGTCTTTTTGGGCTTCTTGTCACTGAACTTCATGTGGTACTTTGTGGAAGGCGCTTTGGTCCCAGAAACATCCGGTCTTTTGGGCGAGACTAAGTAATACAAAAATCAGAATTAATTATACAGTAAAGAAAATGTCATTGATTACCTTCGATTACTTCGTCTGTAACGCCTACATCTTCTGAATACTGAATTAAATTTTCTGCTGCTGTGTCAGCTTCCTCGAGTTGTCTGTTTAAATATTCTGACGGATCGTTCTCCATTCTTATTCCATCCTACATGAAACAAAATTAATAAATAAAGTAATGAAAAATACATACAGTATCAATGCATACCCTAACTTCGGTGTTTTGCAAGGCATCCATTATGTCCTGCCTCCCACTCTCTAAGGCAATTGAAAGCGGCGTTTTCTCGAATTTACTGATAGAATTTGGATTTGATCCGTACTCCATCAACTTGACCACTGCTGAATAGTGGCCTCTCTCGACTGCCCAATGCAGAGGCGACATAAGAAGCTGAGGACAGATAGAAATAATTAACTCCAGAAGGCTTATTAATATTCAAAAGAATTACCATATCTGTTGCATCAACATCTGCTCCGTTTTCTAGCAGAAGTGTGACCAGATTTGTGTGGCCCTCACTTGCTGCAAAATGCAGTGGAGTTCGGTCCACTTTGGTGCGGGCGTCTCTCGAAATTCCACCCCGTAAGAGCAAATTGGCCGTCTCAAAGTGGCCGTTCTGGACAGCTAAATGCAACGCACTCGTCCCCAACTGAAAAATATTAACATAGAGATTTAATATTTATTTTATTTGGAGGATGCAAAAATGCAGTACCCAGTCTGAAGTGAAAGGGGCTCCTCTGGCCATCAGATTCCGGCACTCGTCTTCAAGTCCGTCCCTGGCCGCCTCGAGCAACTTCTTGCCCAATTCGAGAGGAGTGGCCACACGGGCACCCACTGCCAGCGAATCGCCGCGTGAAGAACCCGGTGTTGGACTCAGTTGGATGGTGAACAGTGCCTCGGACTACAAAGATCAGAAAGAATGAGTTTTATTTGCATATGGGCGAGCTAGGGTGCGGGCGTATAAATACCAGGGGCACTCCGTCGTTGTTGCACATAAACGCTTGCATCCTGAGAACCTAGATTCGGTTCCAGCCTGCGACTCTCAGCATGAACGAGGACATCTCTCAGGCTGCTCCTCGCGGTGATTCGGCCCAAAAATTCGGCACACTTTCTTCAGATTCATGGTTGTAAACAATGTCGAAAGGGGCGTGTCAGGCAGTCGGAGCAGACGGGAACGATTCGCGCCACCGCAGTCAATTTTCCTTTGATTTTCCGAAATCAAACTTTTAACAGTTTTGAGCTCGCCATTCCGCGCTTTCAGGTCCGACAAAAAGTTTTTTCAAAACCGCACTTTGCTGCCGCAAAATTCGGCTAATTTAGGGTTTTGAAACCAGGTCGCAAAACACAGGTTTCCTGACTCTGAAGTCTAAGAGTTGCCAATACAACAAAATTTAAACCGCTATGGGTTCCTTTGCCATTTTCTCTTATAAACAAATATTCTGAATTATTTATTTTAAATTGTTCTTTTTATTATTATTTATAATTTTCTAAATGATAATTTATTCTATTTCAATGAAAATTTACATATATGTACAGTAATTTCTATGTTTCCCAGCCTGATTATTTTTGAACCCTCTGCCCCAACCCCCTCCACAGCACAGTACACCCATGCAAAAACAAAAACGCCAAATCAAAAACAACAAAACGAAACGAAATAAACTGGAGATTCCTGATGTGAGTCTGAAAAATTTTTGCTTTTTTATTATCACCCTTTTTAAATTAATAAAATAACTTCTTATTGTACGTATCTAATAACACTGTTGCAATTTCACTCAAAGCATTTTATTTTTTAATTACATACATATTTATTTTACATATTTATTTTGTGTTTTGTTTTTTATTTATTTGTCTTCGTTGAATTTAGGCAGTTTTTTTTTAATGACAACACATTTTTATTTAATTTTTCAGGAAAATTCTTGTCTAACATGTCGGAACCGTACGAGAACTTCCAAAAGTTGTTTACCGTCCGCGCCGAAAATTTTGGCAACGATGAGCAGTTCGTACTGGACACCAGAGACCTGGACTTACCGGTGCATATCAAGTGGAACTTCCTGGGCATCGTCTCGTTCCTGCTGAGCCATCCCTTGGATGAGAACACAGAGGCCATACTGGACCAATTGCTGGCCATGGGCAAAAGGGTCAACAACGAAATGGGCAACGTCCCGGCCCTGACAGCTCTGGCCCTTCAATCCCAAGATCAAAACCAAGCGCCCGTCATCAGCCGTATGACGAAAAAGCTGCTGGAAAAGCAAGCTGACCCATTGTTCATATCAAGAAAAACCTGCAGGTTGATTTTTTTTTTAAATAATCATAAATACAAAAAAAATCTAATAAATATTTTTATATTCAAGGTCTAAATATACCGTACCTGACGCTCTGGGAATGGCCGCTTTTTCTCGATGCGTGCCTATGCTGCGGCAGCTGTTGGCCTACTGGTGGCCAAGTCCGATTTACGTTCTCGACAGTTGGACGGGTCACATGCCACAGCAATTCAAATTCCTCTTCCCCATCCTAATGCAGTATGGCTGGCCCCATGGAACGCCTATTTGTGAGGACGTCGAGTATTTCATTGACAGTGTCATCGAACGCAATATCGAAGACGACATGACGGAGTGGAAAAACTTTAAAGTTCTAATGCGCAGCCAGCCAAGCTCGCTGAAGAAACTTTGTCGAATTGTGATCAGGAAGACCATCGGACTCGGAAAGCAGAATGGACACGAGTATTACCAGTGCATCGAGAAATTGGACAATTTGCCAACTGCGTTGATCAGCTTCTTGCTTCTTAAAGAACCTTGAAGATGTGCAAAGGCACAATTCTCATTTTTTTCTCTCTCACATTTCTGTGATATGGATGATTTAATTTAACTACACTTATATTACACCAGTGAACATTGGAGCTCTCTTGCAAGTATTTTGAATAAAAATTAAATGAAATTACAACATTACAAGTGCAATTTCTAATTTGATAATTTAAGTGAATAGAACAGGGCTTTTAAATTTAGACACACATAAATAATGATGTCATATTTGGCCTAAAGGCCATTTTATCACTTAAAATTAGCTAAGTGAATACTTTTTTTAACGCCCATCACGTAAGTTTATAATATTATAAATTTTAAATTAAAATTAATTATTTATTTATTAACATATTTTATTTTCATAAATAATATTTTTATTTCTAAATAACTATTTTAAAAATTATTTATATTTTAATTATTTTTTTTTTCAATTTTAAAATTGATAATTTTAGATTTTAATTGCAGTTTTCTGTTAAATTTCATGTAAAGCAAAACATATTATATATATAAACCTACTAAGCTTATAAGACATGCTAGTTAATTTTCAAGAAGATTAAATTTTTTCTGTTTGATCCCCATGTTCACAATTACAAACAAAACTATAATTAATAATTAAATAAATACTTTTTAATATGGTTCAAATCAGATGCATGTATTGTATAAAAGGAAATTGAATGCAAAAAAAATATCATAAAATTACATTATTTAATTAATACATTCAATAATTTTTAACAATTGATTATCATTATCAACACTCTAGAGCACAGTATTTTTGAGAAGCAGTTAGAATACGAATTTTATCGCGTCCGCTTTTATTTACAAGGCAAGGCATATATATAAAACCAGTGTAGGAAAATACGAAAAAAAAAATGATCTTGTCGCCAGTCGTCATAAAGAGCTTGGGCCATGCCCTGCAATAATGCTTGCAATTTTTATTGAGTGACAAATCTGATAATAATTTAATAATGCAGCAGGAACAAATGCATCAGACACAGCACCATGGTTTAGATCAAAGTGCCGCAATTAAAACAACAATCCACCATGATATAATACAAATGTAGTAAACTTGCAATCAGCTAGGGTGGCACTGAACATTTTATTACACTAAAAAGCCGATTTTTGATATATTTTCCAAGCAAGCCGGTTGTCATAAATGTGATTTTTTTATTAAGTCATCCCTGTCATTTTATTTAAGGACAATTAAAGGAACCCCCATATATTAAATGCTCACACCTTTGATATCCGTGGTGCCGACAAGGTGATTCAAAATGACAGGTTCAATATCGTAAAAAAAGGAGTTTATTCATTTTATGAATTCAGGGCTTTATATAAAAGGCATGCAGAAACTGTTGGTTCTCAGATAAGCAGAAGACAAAATGAAGAAATCACTCATTTTGGGTGCCGCTCTTGTGCTCACGGTCGCCTTAGCACCTGCAACTGCACAACAACAGAGTAAACCTATTAATTAATTTACGAATAATTAAATTGTGAATTATTTATATTTTTAGAGCGGGTTGTGTGCTATTTCAGTAGTTGGGCGTCTTATAGAAATGGTGATGGCAAATTTGAGGCCGAGAACATTGACCCGTTTTTGTGCACGCACGTTGTCTACGCGTTCGTCGGCACCAACCCCGACGGAACAGTCAGAATTTTGGATTCGTGGAATGACATCTCGTTGAGTGAGTCTGAAACTGAAATTTTCCTTTTTTTTTAGAATGCTAACGAAATAATTATGCGCCTATAGATGGTTTTAAGCGTTTCAACAATCTCCGTGTGACCAATCCTAATCTCAAGACCATGGTTGCCATTGGAGGGTGGAACGAGGGCTCAACTGGTTTTTCAAATTTGTGTCGAGATGCAACTCTCAGAGGAAGGTTCGTCACCAATTTGTACAACTTTGTCAAAACGCACGGATTCAGCGGACTTGAACTTGACTGGGAATATCCGGCACAACGAGGAGGAATTGCTGCCGATAAGGTTTATTATAATTTATTATTAAAAACTTTAAAATAAGTTATTAAAAAAAAGAAGAAATTTCTGAAAAAAATCTTAAATTTATTAGAATTGATTCAAAATTCTCAACAGGGAGAATTCAATAAAAGCTCTTCTAACAAAATAATTAAACGAGTAACATTAATTTAATTTTACAGGCCAATTTCGTGTCTTTGATCAGAGAGCTCAGAACCAGATTCAATCCCGAGGGATTGGTTTTGAGCGCTACAGTTTCTGCAGGAATTTGGACGGTCGGTGCTTCATACGACATCCCACAGCTCTCAGCGTAAGGGAAGGAGTTTTAAAATTAAAAGGTTTAATTATTTAAAAATTTCTCCAGCAATTTGGATTACATTAATTTGATGACCTACGATTACCACGGCTCGTACGAAGGACGAACGGGTGAAAACTCGCCCTTGTATGCCGCCGCTATAGATACGGACAGAACTTTGAACGTGGTATGTTCGAATACACATTGAATAAATTTATAATTGATGATTTGAATATAACAGAACGCAACAGTAAGCTATTGGGTGCAACAAGGTGCTGCCAGAAGCAAATTAAACCTGGGGGTGCCGCTTTATGGACGCACGTTTACTCTTTCTAATCCACGCAACACAGATCTTGGCGCACCGGCCTCAGCGCCTGGGTCTGTTGGACAGTATTCGCAAGAGTCCGGCTTCCTCATGTACAGCGAGGTCAGTTTTATTTCCTTCTCAATGATACTGTTTTTTAATTTCTCTAAAATATAATTTCAAGTATCAAAATATATTTTAATAAATCAAAAATTAATTACATCAAACACCAGATTCGTTCAGAAAAAAATAATGCTGAAAATCATGAATTATAAAAATTAGAATAATAAGGAATTGTCAGCATTTGATAGTTAAAAAAAAATTCATTTTGCAGATTTGCTATCTTCAAAGGACGCAGACAGGCTGGACCACGTGGTGGAACTCGGCTCAACAGGTTCCATACACTTACAGAGCCTATGAATGGATTGGATACGAAAATGTCGAGTCTGTCCAAATCAAGGTTGGTTCATTTTTCACTAAAAGTTTTCTTTAAAAATTGATTTCATTTCATTTCAAAGGGTCAATATGCCAAAGCGAACAATCTCGGAGGAGTCATGGTTTACGCCCTGGAGATGGACGATTTCCGTAATATTTGCGCTGGCGGCCGATACAGGCTTTTGAATTCACTCAGAAGTGCCTTTTTGTCACCTTAAATATTGTGATTTTTTTTTCATTAGGAGCATAATTTTTGATAAATATTTTACTAATTAAAGGAAATTAGATATTATCATTATTATGAAATGAAGAAATATGAATTTTTTGTGCATATTTTTGAAAATAAAAAACCTTCTTGGACCTCGAAATTTAAATATTTATTCAATTATATAAAAAATCACTATTTATCTATCTAAAGCGCTGTTGCAAAAATTACGTAAAAAACCGCAACTATTTTATTTGTGAGGAGCAAAGCAAAAGATAAGCACAGCTAAGTTCTGTGCTTTGTGGGCTAAATTATTATTATTTAATTATGGTAAAAACAATTACGTTGGCAGTTCAAAATTCGTCGTCACGTTCACAGTTCATGATTTGCAACAGCGCATTCGACATTACGTCTAGATTCGTCCAGTGATGCGTAATTGGACATTCATTAGCAACGTAGCGTCAGCGTGGTGACGAGAAAAGTGTGAAAATGAGATCACCAAAATTGCTGCCAAAACGCGTGAAAGGTGCAAAACAACTCAAAATTTGACCTAGTTTTAATCTATGTTGTTATGTTGGGTGAATTAAATTTTCTTCCCTAAATTAAAAGAGGCTTAAAATTTATTTTGAAAAATTACTGATTCAACTTAAAAATATCCCAAAAATTTTCTATAATTGCAAAAATTAAATTTTTTATACTTCCATATCATTAAAAAAAAAATATTAATAAATTAAATTAAGGTTAAATTAACTGTTAAATTGTTTGCTCACAGATAAAGGGAATGAATGGAGGTTTTATACACAAAGTGAAAAACGTGAAAATCAGGAGACCTTGTTACACTTACAAGCTTGTTGGAATTTTGCCGGTCAGAGCCTAGCTCTAGCAATTTTTCGCACCTTGATTTCGGCATGCACGAATTGTCTGCGCTCTGTAGTAACAGAAAAAAGCAGACAGATTGTTAACACAACATAAAGTAAACTGCACGTATGGTCGTGTTTCAATAATCTTTACTAGGTTCTCATTTAATTTTCTTATTAGGAGAGCAAAAATTTAAAGAAATGAATTCCAATTATACTTTTAGGTTAAATAATTATAAGTTATAATATGCTGGTTCAAAGAAATAATCCTTAAGAAGTAAAGAAAAAAAAAATGATGTAAAAATCTTAAAAATGAAAAGAAAAATTAATTGGTCTAAATTTTTTTTATTCACGCTAATTTTTGGTTCTTGACTGTATTTGACAAAGATCCCTTCTAAAGCGACTTTGCTATCCATGGGTATGTTAACATAACGTGAATTTTTTTAATTTATTTTGATATGCAACGATTTGTACAGAAGAATTTTGTGGTAGAATTTCTTTTTCAAAACATTTTTGGTTGATATGAATTTCCTATTTCCTGTGGTGATGAAATGAAAGAGAGTCATTTCCTGGTTTTCAGTCTAAAGAATAGTATGCCTGGGGTAGAAAATAAATAAAAAAGTTAAGAAAATTAGAAATTTCTTATAGAATTCTTCAAAGGATTTCCAAATTAAATTCATCGCTAATTTAGTAAACATAATAAAGCTAACTTTCCGCTAATTGCAAGTTATTGCATTGAACGAGTAAATAAAATTATTTTCTGAGGTGACGCTAAATGTTCAAAAGCACTTTGTATCATTTTCGGCGAAATTTTTTGCAAGTCTAAGGGTGACGAAACAATCTTAGAAGGGAGTGCCTTTTACACCACCAAGATAAGCACAATTTTTATAATAAGGTTCACTTTTGGCTCTTCCATTTGGAATCCACGAGTTGCGGTCGTGGGCCGATTAGAAATAGAAACAGGAGCCCGTTTGGTTTTGGCCGGCTCGCCAGCAGCACCCACACCTCTGCCAGGACACGACCAACGACAAACGGACAGCAAACAACGCGCGCGAATATAAAAAAAATACAGCACTCTTTCGCCGCCAGCCAGCCTGCCAGCATGAACAGCGAACTGCTGCACCTCGCCTTTTGCCTAGCCTACATTAGCACAGGTAATTTTGCGTAGTTCCTTAAGTAATTCAATTTTAGTTAAATTAGCAAACACTGACAACCGGCCTTTGCTTTTCATTGTATAATTTTGAATGCTTAATCATAAAAATAAAAATTGCTTTTATTTCATTTTATATTGTTGTTAAATTTTCATCTAAATTTTGTTAATAAATTTTCCTACTTTTTTTTGTAATTGTTTTAATTAAATTTTTTAACAATTTCAAATTTTGTGGCTTAATTTTCCGGGTTCATTGCTGGACACTGAGTTTCTCAGAACTTGATCGTCTTGCCCATTATTAGCTTTCTTTGGCGGTGCTGCCATATAACAAAGTCAACAAGGAAGTTCTCTTTGCGCATACTAAATGCCGAAAAGACCCAAATCAAATGGCAAACTCAGAACTGCTTATTAACATGCACGGGCGATGCTCAAATTCAAATAATGTCACTCTGGCGTGTGTCATTTTCACGTGCACACCATGAAGTGACTTTATAATTTGTTTGCGTCCCTAGATACGGCTACTGACCCGCTAACAGCCAAATAGACAAAATAATTATAATAATAATTGATAATAGCAAAACAGTTAGTGCTTAAATTAGTGGTCATGGAAATAAGCTGGATATTTTTGTTCCAAAACACTTTTCAAAAATTTCCTGCTCAAATTTTAACATTAAAGCTGATTGGATTTATAAATTTTTTATTTATATTTTTTTCAAACAAAATTTCCTAGAAAAATTTAGATATATTTTTTGATCTGGTTTTGTGTTGCCACAACCGATTGTTTCGCTCGACGCACAAATTCGAACTGACCCATTTAAAATGGTTTTGTTTGGCGCAAAATCGTGACTGATGATATTGACATCAGGCGGAATGGGATACAATTAACAAGCCAATAAATATGCCAAAAATGTTGGCGCGCCGCTCAGACACGAGCGAACTTCCCTGGCCATTATTCAGCATGAGCAGTTTTGCGTGCAATTGCAAACTGTTAATTTTCAAGGAAAATCTTGCAGCTATAAATACTTTTTTCCTGTGTGTTGCAGTTTTCGCAGACGAGGGACACGGATTTGGATACGATGGACTTTCAGGCAAGTGCACGGAAATTTATTTAAAAATTTAATTATATTTATTAAAAATAAATCTATATTAAATTTAACAAAGTTTATAAATAAATTAACCGAATCCATTAACTAATTTAAAAATAGAAGGCAAAATACTCCCTAATGAGTGTGACGGAAATTGGCCGGCGCCATAAAAATAATTGGCATGTGTCTGAAAAATTTGCGTGCCAAACAAGACGACTGTGACATCACAATCATGGGATGTTAATATTTGCCTGCTCAGTTAGGAAGACGCCATAAATTTTATTATAAGCTCAGGGATTGTCTTTATCTAATCTTTTCAAGGGCACGGTCGCATCCTTCTTAAATTACGCTGCGATCCCTTGAGAAAGTCATGAAACTCACCCGCAATTACCAGATGGATTGATTAAATAATAAATGAGCCGCCGAAAAATCCCATTATTGACTTTAATTAATGTAATAATTAATTCATCATCGCACACGATGAGAGCTTTTTGCGGTTTCGAGAGGGTTGATCACTAAATAATAATGTGAAAGTCGTCGCGTGTGTTTTTCGCGCTATCGCCGTAATGACAGGTTGCGTGCGGATTATTAAATTATCATGTCGCGCGCGGTGTGTGTGCGACGGGTCTCCTTCCTAACTATATATCTTGGAAACGCAACATCGAGAGGATGACTGACAGCCTGAGAAATTTATGGCGGTGAAGGGCTTCATGTTAATTGTGCAAAATAAATAGAGATAAATAAACACGTGGACATGTGCAATGCAATGAAAATAGGAAATTATTGCCAATGAAAATATAATAAATAAATTATAAAATAAAAGGAAATTATACAATTTTAACAAACTTTTTGTATTAATAATAAAATATCAGGTAATGATGAATAATAATTTATATCATTAGATTGTGTTTATCACCATTCAAGTGCTTGTCTTGAGCGATTAAAACAATCTTTTTTTTTGAGAACTTAAAACCCAAAGAAACCACTCGAAACGGGAAATAATTAAATTAGTACTGCCTTGACGTGGAATAACGTTCCGAGACAACGAGATATTTGAGACAAAGCCGGTGCAAAGAAAAATTCCTGTTGTGATAATAAACAATTTTAATTGAGGGCGAAAATTTCCCAACTTGTCTCAAATATCTCGTTGTCTCGGAACGTAATTCCACGTCAAGGCGATCAGTCACAGTACTAATTTAATCTTTATTTATTTAAATTATTATTATATTGCTTAAATTTAAAATTTATAATTAAAATGTCCGCAAAAGGGTATAAAATGAAAAAAATTATTCAATATATGGTTGTTTCTGATAACAAAACGTTTTCCAAAATAGAACTTTGCTTTTAATTGTTGCTACATTATGTATTATTATGCCAGTATTGAAAAATCAATCTACAGGAACAATTTTATTGCAAAATTTTAAAAATATTTGACATTTTATTTGCATGATTTTTTTTTTAATTAAAATTATTTTCTATCAGCTTGATTTACGATTTTTTTTCCACATACTATTTAAATTATTAATTGATTTAAAATATTTAAACTTTTAAATTTCAGGGCCTGAATTTTGGTCGAAAAGCTTCCAAACGTGCGCTGGCAAATATCAATCTCCGATCGACATCGAGGAGCACAAGGTGACCAAAGTCAGTATGAAACCCATGCGGTACCACGGTTTTGCAGACAAACCCCTCAGCTCAACGGTGTCCAACAATGGCCACACTGGTGAGTGAATACAAAAAAATCAGACCTCGTGGGAAAAGGAATGGCGGTCAAGTTGCAATTCTGAGCTGGAGAAAAAAAATTGCCACTTAAAACGTTAGCGGGCCGTGACAGTTTGTTTTTGTTCGAGAAAGTAAATATCTGCTGGTTTTCCCCAGTAATTTGTGTGAAAATGCAGTGAAAATTTCTCTTTATTATGAATTTATAATTTTTTTTTTTTTAAATTTCAGTGATGCTTCAGTTGAAAACTGAGGAGCCATTGGCAGTGTCTGGAGGACCCTTGCATGGCCACTACCTTTTCCAGCAACTGCATTTTCACTGGGGCCACAACGATTCCGTCGGCAGCGAAGACACCATAAATAATCACAGGTACAATTATAAATATTTTAATTAAAATGTGACTCCAATCTCGATAAATTTGATTTCTTCAGTTTTCCTATGGAACTGCACATGGTTTTTTACAATGAAAAGTACGGCGACTTCAACAATGCCCTGAACCACAAAGACGGCCTTACAGTTCTCGCTTTCTTCTACGAGGTAAAATTAAAAATTGAATTTTCAGTTGGAAGTGAAGAAAATGGGCTTCTTTGTCCTCATTGAAAAAGGTTTTGATTGAAAAAAAAAAGACATACAATTTTGGTCACAGACTGGAACCCTAAATCCTTTTTCACACAATATTACAAGCAAAAAAATCAAGTGAAATAAAAATAATCATTCAGAAATTAAAGCTATTCATAATAAAAAAAAAATATATTAAACTAATAGTAAACATTGTATTTATTTTCTAACAATGTGGATAAACAAGAAAAAAATCAAATTAAACATATAAATCATTTTAAAGTAATAAAATGTTAATTTAAATTAATTAAAGAAATAAATAAAACTACTTACTATAAGCAAAATTAAAAATATAACCCAATAATCATATTAAATTACATAAAGCAAAATAATATGTAATTACAACCGAACTTAATAATTATTTACAATTAGCATTTTTTTTTCATAAAAAGTAACTTTTTTTTTTAAATTTTGCCAACTGTGACCAAAGCTGGTGAAGGCGTTTGTATTATTAATTCAAAAAAAAATTATTTTTTAATCATTGCCTATGAGAAAATTAATTAATATAAAAAGAATATTTCATACATTTCATTCATTTTTAATAATAAATCTAGTATTTAATACAATTTTTATATCAATGAGGACAAATTCCTTTTATTTTAAATTTCTTTAATCTCTCCTTGATGAGTGTCAATTTCTTGAGTTAAATTTGACCAAAATTAATGAAAATTCCCAGGTGAGCTCGGACGACAACTTTGCTTACGCTGAAATGGTTGAGCACCTGCCTACCGTGGTGCTGCCCCATTCCGAGGCCAGACTGGCCCGGCAACTGCCCCTCGAGTTGTTGCTGCCCCGCGACAAATCTCAATACTACACCTACAACGGCTCCCTAACCACGCCACCCTGTTCCGAAGTTGTCACCTGGATCGACTACAAAGAGTCAATTCCACTCTCCCACGAACAAGTATGAACAATTTTCATCTTAAAATTTATTTTTTAATTAAAATGTGGATCAGGTTGAGGAATTCCGGAGTTTGAAAAACACAGACGGCGACTTGTTGACGCACAACAACCGTCCGGTGCAGCCGGTCGGAGACAGAATTGTGTATTTTAACGAGAGAGAAGACTATGGAGACAGTGCAGCCGGTCCGATCAGTGCCACGCTGCCATTGGCACTCTTACTTGTGATAATTCTATCGATGGTTTAAATTAATTGCGTGTCGAACAAAAGGAAATAGACTGAATAGATGTGCAAAATCGCCTCGTGTAAATAATCGGGTTTGAAGTAAATTATAAACTCTTGCCTTTGCGGAAGAATTTATGAAATTTATGTAAAAAACAAAAATCATTTTGCATTTCTCGTCAATGCTTGTACCATTTGAAAATATAATATATGTACATAATAAAATGCTGGCCTTTTCTGCGTCCTTCAGTCCTCGTCCAGCTGCTGAGGCTGCACCATGGCCACGGCTTCGGCCAAGTCGCTCTGGCCCTCTCGTAATCGGTCTCTGATCAGCTCGGCAATCGCTCTTTGCGTCCGTCGCTCCAACTTGGCCAGTTTGTGGGCCACGTCCCTTTTCAGATCCCAGTCGGGCTTGCGAGGCGCCAACGTCGTCAAATCCTGATGAGAAAAATAAATATGAGAGAAAATCAATTTTATGCTGAAAGTTTAAAATAACAACATTTCGTAGATTCTTATTATTTAAGTTTATTATAAAAAAATTATTTTCTAACCAGCTCTTCAATTATGCCTCTGTTCTTGGCAGCCTCGAGCTGCTCTTTGACCTCTTCCTCGACATCACCCGGCTGTGCATCAGGAATAACTTTGTCTTGTAAAACTTCATCCTGCGGTCGGTAACTTCTGAATTTCGGCCTGTTTGGAAATTTTTATTTGTAAATTTTCTGCAAATATTTTAAATAACTTACTTCGGAAGTCCTTCCTCCTCTTGTTTGATTTCGTCCTCGGACTTTTCAGCACCTTCAGAGGTTTCCTCGCGTTTCCTCTTCAAAGCCAAAAGACGTTCTCTGCGTTTCAACGCGTCCGCTTCAAGTTGGCCCACCCCGTCTTCAGCCATCGATTTTCAAGTTTCAATTTCTTCTACGGTGGAAAATGTGTGCAATTAATTTACTTTCGCCTTTTCCTGAAGATATTTTAGCCGGTGTCTGTTGTCTTGTCTTTTTGTTTATTTTTTCCACACGTTGTTGGCATTTGCATTGCAAAACGACCGGTGCTGCGCCCGTGCGGCGAAATTTCGCATCATGCAGCGAAACGCTATCAAAAGGCGCCAAGAATGACGCGCAGCCCCAGCAGACAAAAAATTATCATCGAGTTATTTTTTTTTATTTGTCCAAATTGTTTGACTTAATTGTTTTTATTCAATTTTTGAAAACAGTTTATTTAAAATATTGTAATATAATTATAATTTTTTTATTATAAAATAAAGTAGACATAAACTAAATTTATTTTATTATTTATATTTAATATTATTTATAAATATATTAATTTTATAAAATTTAGAGGAGTTTTAATGGCCGGTACACAATTTGAATTCTATAACATTTTATATCTCGCTTATTTAATTTTTGCGACAAAATTAAAATATATTTTGCGCATAATGTCCATCATAATGTTTTCCTTATATTTTGACGATTGAAATATTTATTACATAGGAGAGAAGATGTTAGAAATTTTTTGTTCTACTCTGCATGAAAAACATGTTAAAAAGAAGTTATAATATGATAATTTGTTTTACCAGAGAGGTTCTAATTTTTAGGGCACAAATTTAGTGAATGTTCTAAGAGCAATAATAACTTGTGTTTTGGTATTACTGTGCTCGTTAATGATAATGACTGTATTTTTTTGATCAAATAAATGAATTAACATAATCTAATCTAAAAGCCAATAATATTATGTATGGGCAAAGAAGGCACAAATTATTTTTATTATTGTTAAATTATTCATTATGTGTATCACAAATTTTATTTACAGAGTATATTGCTATGTATTTCAATTGTTTGAGCATTTATAATAAAAATATTTCTAAATTTAAAAAAAAAATCTTCTTCTCGATATCTATAGCATGGCCCTTTTAAGTTCCTGTCGTGTTCTCTGTCATTTCCACTACAGAGCAGAATGCTTCGTTCACAATGCCTGATGGCGTAGCCGGAATTTCAGTCGGGTCATTACTGCTCCAGCAGACGATGACTGACGAAGGTGTTTTAAATTGCTATAATTTGCACATGATTATAAATTTAATTATTTAATTCTTCACTTGAAATTAAAGCAAAATAAAAGCAACTAAAGAACAAGAATCGCATGCAACACAAAATGAAGCAAATAATGGATTTTGTAACTTTTTGTTGACGTGGTCAGTTTTATTGATGGATTGTTTTACCAGTTGCACTTTTTTTTGCAGCCTGTTTGTACGAGACTGAGGAGAACCATGACATTAAAATCTCTTAGCTGACAGTGCTTAAATTAAGTGATTGTGGTGCGGATGAAAAATAACTTAAAAAAGAGAGCGCTGACGAGACAAAAACTTTTTTACACGTCTACAGCAAAAACAAAATATCTATTCTAATAGGCACAGTAAAAATGCATTTAAAATCAGTCACATGAGTAGTAAATCTTGTTCTAAGAAAGCAAAAAAGCCGTCTAGATTTTTTGCAAATTATCACACAATTGGCAGGAGCTCTGCGGGCTGCAGAAGTGGGGCGCTGACCTGAGTCATTTCTTGCTCCTTGGGCCGATTGTTGGCGAAAATGGTTGCGTTGTGGAGCAAACGAGATCCTGAAGGTAATGAGGGGCTTGTCTTTCTCGTCAAAAAACTAACCACCAGTCCCACGACCACCGTGCACACGGTGGCAATAAGTGAGTACCAAAGGAAGGAAATCCGAAGAAGAACATGAGCTTCCTGACGCAACTCGCTGAGGAAATGGAAAATTTTTTATTTAATGAGTTATAAGCTATATTATAATATAATAAATATACATTTGAGATGGGATGTAAAATTTAAGCATGTTATAAGATGCAAAATAAAATTAGATTATAGGATAGGATAAGAGCAGCATGAAAGGCCATATTAAATTTCTTGATAAAGCTAATAATGTTTTATTACTACTTAATTTTAATTAAATTTTTTTTTTAATTTATCTATATAACTCTCTTTGGCTTTACTTAATTGAAAAAAATTCATTCATTTAGTAACTTGAAAACCTATTTAAATAAATAATCATTTAAAAAATAATAATATAATTAAATGTATGTAAATTAAGATTTTATTAAAAAAATTAATTTAACAGATGAAATTATTATATTTTGTTTTAATTTTTTACAAACTATAAATTCATATTATTTCTTACCTTGCATGAGGTAGAAGGGCGGAGGTGAAGGTTGAGTTGTCGCATCCCTCAATACTGGTGGGAAGAGGTGTGAACAAAACTTGTCCACTCTCCGCCGCAATCTGTGATCCTACCGTCATTCCACCGACCAGAACTACCCCAGCTACCAGCCCAGTTCCTACGCCCTGGAAAAAGTCATTAATAATGTAATTTAATTTCATTTTAAAATCAGTCTTACCAATGAATTAGCCCAAGGGCAGTAGATACCGAGAAGAAACACGCCTAACAGAGCGCCTGAGAAGAAGCTCGAAAGTGAAACGGCAACCTTTAGAATTTCAGATATTAGTTTCTGAATTTAATTTAAATTGTTCACCAGACTTACAGGAACAAGTCCACCCATGTAGGGCACAAGGAAGACGAGGAAGAAGGAGGCAAGACCGAAGCCGAGGGCCAGAACCTTGACCACCACCGCGGCCCTTTTTTCGCTCATCTCGCTCTTGAGAAACACGCCGTTGATTTCCGACAGCCAGATTGCGGCCAGCGAGTTGACACCTGTTGACACGGTGCTGTGGGAGATTTCAATGAGCGCACTTTTAATACAAACTTTTCCTCAAATACTTGCCTCAGACCGGCACTGAAAATCCCGGCTACGAAGAGGCCCGGGAATCCCGGGACGGTGCCAAGAATGTCCATCACAAATAAGGGAAATAATTGGTCAGGTTTGGACACTCCCTGGGTGAAAAAAACCATAAATTAAATTAATTTAAAAATTCAGTTCCTTGAAGGTTGAACTTACGCCGGTGACTAGAGGGTCGCAGTCAAAATATTGGGCGAAAATCAACATTCCAGCGTAAACTGTGATTGCAACTACGAAGGTCCAGCCAAAAGCATTGATCCACAACATTCTAAAATAAAATTTTTTAAATTTCTGTTTTTAAGATTATTTAAATAACTAATAAAAATAATTTTAATAATAGTAAATTTCATTGAAGTAAAATTAAAAATTGAATTTTTACCTTCTTGCCGCTTCCACAGTCGGCACGGTGAGGTATCTTTGAACTTGGAGTTGGTTGACGCCGTAGACAGCGCAGTGAAGAAAAGCTGCGCCAACCAATGATCCCCAAAAGGTGTATCTCTCTGTCGGATCCATGTCGAAGCTGAAAATTATAAACAGATTTTATTTAATGCTCCTCCGGAAGCACGGCAATTTAAGTAATTGCTGCAAAATTCAATTGAAGCGATAATTTTTCAGAGCAATGGAGTGCGGAAATCTCGCCAAGGCCGCTCGAAATTACACCAGTGGATATTTTAGTATATCAAAGAAAAACAAAAGCTTTTATCCCTTTTTCTCCACCAGGATGTAACAAGTTTCTGGGTAAAAAAAATCAGCATTGCTTGAATGCTCCGTTGATTTTACTCACTCCTTTTTTGTTTCGTTTCTTTAAAAATGGAATATAAAGAACTAAAGAAATAACAGCTTACTTGAAGAATTGTGTCCGGTTTGCAGCGGCGTTGCGCTCCCAAACGACGCTGAATCCTCCAAGGTCCGCTGTGCCTTTGTACAGAATTGCTAGCATAGATGAGTAAAGGACCAATACTTGGAAAGTGTCCGTCCACACCACGGCTTTCATACCACCCTATTCAAATAATTTCGTCTAAATTAAAAAGAAAGACCAAAAGTACAAAAAGAACTTACAATAGTTGTGTACAGAATGCAAACGAGGTACATGACGGTGACCACAATCTCTGTATTTATACCAGTAACTGAAATAAATCAGAAAAAAAATAAATTAGCGCATTGATGCTGAAAGTTTATATAAAAAAAAACGCAGACAAAAATAGCCAAGAAAGTTTTAACCAAAGTATTTCATAAATTTTAGCGTTACCTTAATTATTTATTTTACTTGATAAAATAAAACGTTAAATTAATGAAAATTTATTTGGCCAAATTACAATTAAATTCAGCAAATAAATTAAAACTCAACTTCAAAAATCTTTAAAATACATAGAAGTAAATTTGTAGATAAAAAATAATCATCAAAATTAATTTATAGCAAAGAATAATTAAAACATTGAGCAAAATCTTTGCTATTAGTGGCGAATTTTTGTTCAAAAATGGTTTTTCTATACGCAATTTTTTTAAACATAAAATAAAATGTAAAAATATTCAAACTCACCTTGGTGTAGAGCCATGGCTGGTGCGTAAAGCACCAGGGCAAGGTAGATGACCATCTGAAGGGAGAAAAGGGTGGAGGTGAAGAGCTGCAGCCAGCGGTCGAAGCGCCTTCCGATGTATTCAAAGGCCGATGTGAGGCGCATTTCGCGGTACAAGGGAATGAGCACATATCCGGTTAAAGGAATAGCAGCGAAACTGGCCAAGCCAAAAATCCACAGCTGCGGCCCGAATAGATAAACTTCCGCCGGTTGACCCATCAGCGTGATTGAAGACAAGAAACTAAACAAACAATATTACAAAAATTTGAATATTATTTTTACAGTTAAATTTTATTAATAACAAAGTTTAAAAAATATATATAAAACAATTAATTTTTTTCTTCAAATTTGCCATTTAAAAAAAACAATAGCTCTGCCCAGTGTGTTGATTGCACTTAAATTACATGCAAATTTATTTTTTCAACTTTTCAACGCCAATTTACAAGCAATTATACTTCAATTGTATAATTATTTATTTTAAAACAATTTTTTTAACGACTTGTCAATTATGTAACAGTTATTTTAAGACGAAAAATAGCAGACGGACAGCATGGAATGCCATTGTTATAGTTCACAGTAGGGCAACGTCTGCTCTTTCTTGTTAGTTTGTTTGCATACAAAGGAAGCGCGCGATTATTGAGTTAAAAAGAACACTGAGCACGTGTTTAAGTGCAAATATAGCGCGGTGTGCGACGAACACTATCTTATCATAATGTTTCGTCAGTTAATTCAGCTCCTCGCCTGCATCCTCATAAAATAAATCACAGCAATTTATTCAAAATTGATCAAATTAATGATAAATTTTAATTGCAACTGACCTGGCGAGCATGCTGAGGGCGACCGGAATCGTGCCGAGCTGTCCGTTGCCGGTGAGGAACTCGGCCGACGATTGTCCGCGTCGTCGGCAGCCGTGGTAGAGGCCGATGGCCGCCGACACGGCCAGCATGCCGGCGAAAACGAGGTAGTCGCTCCAGTCGAAGAGTCGCTCGTCCGTCGTCTGCATTTTGTCTGTGCCGAATGCGCCTTCCGCAACGGGCGCGCCACCTTTTATTGCAGAAGTGGGAGGGAGTCGCGGCCGCCGCCGACACTCTCAGATAGACCTGAATGCATCTTGAGCCCAATTATATTGTACGAGTTTTTTGCTCTCACACCCTTTTTATATTTGCAAAGAGTTTTGTCTCGCCTCTTTCCTATCGTACATTATTATATTCTGCTTGTTTTTTTTAGTATCAAAATTCCCAAACCAATAATCTTCTTCTCTCCAACATAATAATGTTTATTTTCAGCATATTTCATTTTTTCATTACATTCGTGGTTTTTATTTTGATATTATTAACATTTAATGAAATTTTGAAAACGGAAGCAATTTTTTCATTATGATAAGGACACGATTTTAAATATTTTAATTCTGGTTTCCAAAATGAAATGTTAATAATTGAAAAGTATTTGCTTATCTTAATTTATCATTTAATATGAAATTAAAGAGATATATGCAACCAGTCATCTAATTTATATATAGTTCTATAATTAAACGTTTAAAAAATTTGCCTAAACCTTAAAATTTAATCATCAGTTTTACAAAAAAATCAATATTAAATTAATAATAAATTATTGTAGGATAACAAAAAGAATATTAAAACTAAAAATTGAAATAATAATTTAATAAATCAAATATTAAATTAATATTAATATTTATATTAAATTAATAGTATATAAGAATTAAATTATAATCTTATTATCATTAAAAATTACTTAAATTGTATTTTAATTTTTTATGCAATTCTCCGTTGAGCTGTAAACATTTGAAAAAAAATGTATTTGTTCATGCTGAATCATGCTAGTTATTCTCCTCGGTCGATTGGAGAATTTAAAAAATTGTAAAAAAGAGAAGAATGGCTTACAGATTAATTGCGAAAACTCAATACATAAAAGAGACCGGTTAATCCACGCAAATTATGACTATAAATAGAAATTTCTTTTCTTGGAAATGAAGATCTGCTCGAGTGTCAACTTCTAATTCAAACAATTTCTTTTCTTGCGACAATTTTTACAATCAAAACATTTTCTCATATTGTCGAGTTAGCATAAATAATTTTTACAGGAAACAAATTTTTATGTAAGTGCAACGTAGCAATGGGAAGAGCCGGAAATATTTAATAGTAAATAGTATATGAAAATCAAAGTTTTCCTCAATTAAAAAAGTAAACAGCTCAAAATACCCCACGCGGTATGTTAAAAAAGTTTTCCTCCTCACAATCGGATTTTGTTCTGGGATTCACAATATTAACACCATTTGCCGACGGCCGCTGGAAACAGGTTGACTGTTCTCGTGTTGGAGATTCCCAATGTCAAGGTCTTTTTTTTCGCGCTCACGCTACGGCCAAATTGTGCTCCGCTTAAATTACACTCGTCACTCAAGTGAGTGGTTTGCAGTTTTTACGATCGCTTTTTTTTGCAATTATTTTGGAACACTTTATCTCTTCAATCGTTTTTTAATTTCTTTAAAAATTACTTACGTGACGATATCCATAATTTTTTTCAATTTAAGAGTTAATAAAAGTTTTATATTCTCTCTTATGAGGAACATACTAATTACATAATATATCCTGTTCGAATCTCCGGCATTCTAATTGAAAACTACTGTTGCTAAAATTCTGCTGCACAGATAATTGCCGTGGAGCGTGACGTGGAAAAACAAAGCAAAAAATCAATCAGGAATTTCAAGCAGTTAAAAATAATATGCGGCATCGCAACGCTTCGCTGGCGGAATGACTTTTTCCTAAACACTCGAATTCACTGCCAGGGTCGGGGAGCAGATAAACGCAGGTAATCGAATGTGTACCTATACATTTTCACGTCATTATCTAATGGTTAAGGTCGGTCGTGCAAGCTTGGCCGGCCAAGCGATCCACGCAAATGCTGGCGAGCGCAATTGTCAATCCTTTGCTGCCTCCGTGTTTCGCTCGAACGAATAAACTGCACCTCTTTTTGTCATGCAAATCTCCTCTTCTTTTTTTTTAATTCCTGTGCATAAAAAAATTTGTAGTGCATAAATCTACACTTAAGACTTAAGTTAGATGATAGATAGTAACAAAATTGAAATAAAAAAATTATATTTAAAAAAACTTTTTCATATAAAACAAAATTTAATTTTTTATATTTTATTTACCTAATCAATTTTGAGTAAATAATGCTTATGAAAATTAGAGGTAGTTCAGTTTGCAGTTTTTTAAGCTGTTTCTTAAGTAAATAATTTTTAAGTTTCACGCTCTTAAAATAAAAAAATGATGAATTTGTTCAAATTTAAATATGATATTCCCACTTTTTTGTGTGAATTAAATACACTATATGAGGATGTGGACAAGGATGTGGATGAGTCAACAATCGCCACAAAAACAAAGAACTTCTATAGTATTTGACCTTTTAAATTGAGCATGAGCTAGGGTAATTTTTGATAAGATCTTGAACTTTATTAACTTTTAAAGATGTTTAATTGGAACAAAATCTAAATATTTTTACTTGCTCCTGTAATTTATTTGCAATTGACTTGATTAATTAAAAATATAGCTTTTAGGTAGGAAATTGAGCTTCACTTCCGGCAAATCAATCTTGCTTAGCAGGTGACAATTGGAATAAACAAAAGCGTTTAGTTCTGATTGAGAAGAGCTCTTGCTTCGTTCCGATGCTTGCACGAAGTTTTGCGACGTATGCAAATTCAGGGCCGCCTTTTCTTGATTCGAGGCCTTTGTATATAATTATCGGATGGCTGATTGCGTGGAAAACTCCTAAGAATCAAAATCCGATTTACTTCTTGATATGCACATTTTGAATTTTTTATTAATTGAATTGCTCCGAACAAGTACATAACACGATTTACACATCGGGAAAACGTAGAATGCACAAGTATATTTTATTACATGCAGTTCTCGTTGATCATTCAAGGCTTGATATGCACCGAAAACGTATAATAAAAAGTTCCTTCTTCTCGTCACCAACAAAAGATATTTCACAATCAGACCCATTTCGACAAAAAATCAGCACTTGTCCCTTATTCCAGACTAACATATCGAAATTATTACTACATTATCAAAGAGGTAGAGCAAAGGGTGGGCGGGAATCTCGTCTTCAGAGGCCTCAACGCGGTTAACAATTGTGATATGATACATTAATTAATTGCTGCACAAAAGTGATGATATGGATTTGAGCTACCCTATGAAAGTCAACGGCCAACAGTTAAAAACAATTTGATATGTGATGAGAGACCAAAATAAATACTTTTTACTATTTTCCTGAAATGTGGTCGGGCTTGAAAAAAACGCATATATTTTGCAGCAAATACACTTCTTCTTTTTTATGACGATTGTGTTACTTTGATACACACAGATCTCTAAAACATTCAGTCGGAGTAGCAGTGAGCGCTGAACAAGCTATCTACTTAATCTTTTTATATATTATTTATTTTAAACCTAGTCCAAGTTCTTTCGTGGCCGAACAGTATCTTAATCTAGAGAAAAATCTGCGAATAATTTTGGCATTTGCATGTCGCAGACTAGTTTGCTAATTTGACACCGAACGTTACATTTGAACAATTCACAGTTAACTCCGCGCACAAAGTACAAAGTGCCCCGCGCTCTGTCTATATGTTATAAGTATTGATGCTCATTTTAATATTTACATTGTTGTGCGTGTCGACTGATTATGGCGGTTTGTTGCACGTCCGTCCCGAGCGCATCACTCGCCCAGCAGTTTTTTTTTCGCACGCGAAAAGATTTTCAGTGTAGAATAAACGAAAGAGCAGCAGTTCGAGACTAAAATGCAGTGAGAAATAAATGCAACGTAATCAAAGTTAAAGATGATTTGAAGATAAGTAGTTGAAACAAAAAGAATCATACTTAAATTAAAAAAAATAATAATCTATCATTTCTTAATTCGTTGGAAAAAAAATAATACAAAATTTTGCAATGTAAGTACAAGCGTTTGTTGTAAAATTGTGATTTATTTAGAAATTCAAATTCTAATGTAATTGCGTTAACTAAAGAATATGAAAGCCTCTTTACTTTTAAATGAAAATATTAAGAAAATCACTAAATTAAAGTTAATTATTTTAAAGAATTACATATTGCTAAAAAAAGCAATGACTTTGAAGGTAATCAAAAAACTTTCAAAATTGTCTGAATTAAAATAAAAAAATAGAGTTGAATGATTTCTTATTACTGAAAACAGTAGTTTTCCATATTCCCTGAAATAAGATTTATAATATTCGTGAAAATAATTTTTTTAAAGACTGATTAATTAGATCTTGGCCTACGAAAATTTCCTTTGGTTGAATTTCAGCGGATCAATTTTTTGCAAACAAATAAGTGCCCTTCAATGAAATTTAACTAGAATGTGGAAAACTCTCATGTTTTGCGCAAATTATATTTATGTAACCTGAAATGACGACGAGTTGCGCGTGTTGCATAAATCACTGGCTAAGTCTCGAGCTGCAGCCGCCGGAAAATTTTCAACGATTTTAGTGCAAACGAAAGCGAAACAAATGCGCGCAGTCTTAGATGTGTTTTCGGTGGGCGGTCTGCTGGCTGGGCGCGGAAGGACCTACCTCTGGAAGAGCTGGTCGATCGTGATGGGCTTTTGCTCGACGTTTTGGATTTCGTCGTCCATCTCGGCCACCTTGGAGGTCTGCAGGACGACGGGCACGACGAGCACCTCGACGCGTTGCTCCTTGTCCGATGCGGAGGAAGTTCCGTGCACCGAGTGGAAAATGTTGTGCTGGTTGCGTTGGCCCTTGGTGCGGGCCTCGCGCGCCATCTCCAGCAGCCGTTTGCTGACCACGTTGCCGTCGCGGTGGTGGTGGCCGTGGTGGTGACGGTTGCGGTGCCGCCGCGGGTGGTGCTCCTCGGTGTTCTGCATGTCGACAACCTGCTCCTCCTCGGGCGTTTCGCCGGCCGCGCTCTGCCGCTCGGTGGACGGTTGCTCGATTATTTGCTGACGGCGCGAGTAGCCGATGATGATTCGGCGGAACTCTTCGCTGCTGCCGTTCGCGGTCAGGGGGTAGAACTTGTTGGGCACGTCGATCTCGATGGTGGGAATCTCGCTGGTGCACAAAGAGATCACGGGGAGCATATACGCGCGGAGGTGGTCAGGTGTAGAAACAGTGTTGTTGGCAAGGGCAACGTCAAAAAGGACGCTGGGAATGGGCTTGGTCTCGGCTGAAATTCGGAAACTGACATCAGCGGTATTGAGGTGGCGCCGGCCGCGGTTACATCGATATTGCGTCAGCGGAAGCGTTTTATTTTTTTGCGTTAAACTGAGATTCGGATAATTATTTACCAACAATCTAAAAGTTTAAGGTAGAAATAGAAAATGCATCAATGGCTCATTACAGAAGTTGCCTCTAATTAAATTAACGAAATTATCGCAAGGAAGTTGCTAAATATGTTTAATTTTTTTTTAATTTAGTTTATAAACAATTTTGATTATAAGTTTATAGTTAAATAAAATAGATTAAATAAACTTTAAATATAAAATAAATTTTTAAATATTAATATTAAGTACAATAAAAAAATGAAGTATAAATTCTAAACAATTTATATATTTTAATTTAAAATTTACTGTTATTTATTTTTAAATAAAAAACACAATAAAAAGAATCTCAATTTAAACACTTGGACAATCAATTATATGAGCGAAAGCATAAATAAAAAAAGTAAACTACTGTGGAGTGATTGAAGAAAATTTAGCGAGATCAATTTTTAAATAAGCCATGCCATAGAAATAAAGCCCAAGTGCCTGAAGTTGTTGTGTGATCCATAGTTTTTCGTGCAGAGTAGGAAAGTGTGTTGCGAGAATTTGTGTGATTTAGTTACCTGTTTCCTTTGAGCAATTCATTTCGCGGAAGTACTTTGACGCGGACAACTTCTTGCGCTCCAAGTCCTCCACTTCGACGAAGAGGCCAAAGTTGTTGGTCGAATTGCGCCAGTCGCGAACTGCGTTTGATACGTTGAATTCGACCCAGCCGTCGCCGCTCGTTGACACCATCTTGCTATCTAGGATGTTCCTAACCACTGTTGTAATAAAAAAAATGCATTAATATTATTAGTTTTATTCTACAGAAATTTTAAATTGGAAAAAAGAAGAAAGGGTTTACAACTAGCAAAATATTTATTAAAAAAATTTATATAAATTATTTATAAGGTAAATAATTTGAGGTCTTTTGATGAAGATCGGCTAATTTTTATTTCATCTTTTTATATAAATCATTCAATTAAACTAAAATCAAAGATCAGCAAGTTAGGCAACCGGCTAGACACACGTGCAAAAACTGCTGCCTAACTTGATCACAATACTTACATTTATTTGTCTTTTTGGCCTGGCGCACGAGATAGGAAATTGTAACCCTGACAAAGACCTCTTTAGGTTCCGGGAAGAGGCTAATCACGATGGGCAGAGATGAACTCGACGGTGGGCTGGAGGTGGTGCTTGTGCTTGCGACACTGGAAACGCTTGAAGCCTCTTCATCCACAAGCGCCGCCGAGGTTGTCGTCGAGCTTGACGTGGGCGGCGTGCTCTTCACCTGTTGCTTGGGCGGGATGCACGCGTCCTCACTTCTACTTTCATTTGACTATTCAACAAAAATTTCTCCCTTTAAAAAACAAACCAATGCGTAATAAAAAATATTACTTGAGCGACTCTGTAAAGGCGCAGTTTGGCGCTAATGATGTTAAGTTCGGTGCCCGCCAGTGGCATCGGGTACGTGAGATTGAACATCATGTACATGTCGTCGTTGTTTTTGGCCGCCTCAACCTTTTTGCTGTTCACCGGTGCACCTTAAAAAATAATAAAATAAAAATTTAAGCTTGAAGAAAACTCCTGAATTGTTGCCGACAACTCACAGACAGGGTGGAAGCTGGTGAACTTTTTCGGGGTGTCGTCGAGGGCCGTGACAGAGGGAATAATGCTGCTGACGAGACCGGACAGAATCTTGGAGGCGATGATGTTGTTTGGGCCCCCGAGCGAGGTGCCCTTGCCCGGTCGGGTTGTGTTGTAAATGTAGCCTTTGATCTCCTGGATTCGGCGCTCTTTGTCCCTGCCGAACAATAATAAAAAAAAAATCAAGATCATATAATTTCGATTAATTTCGACGAGTTTCACAATGACATTCCAGCACACGGCAATTTCCATGCAGCAAATTGAAAGGCCATTACGCTATTAGTAAGATCATTAGTGGTCTAGGAGAGACGGACACGATAGTAAAACGGGATGCTGGGTTGAAAGTTCACGTGACTGGATATGTAGCTCCGTCTAGACGTCTAGGATGGGCCGCTGATAAATGTGCTCTCTCGCCTGCTCATTTCCACCCTCGTCGCGCAACTCGGCAGACGCGGGGCAAATTGGCGCTAATTAATTTGCATTCAGTCGCTCTCGGGTCGCGAGAGAAAGAGAGCAGGTGGGGGAGTCTGGCGACCTTGAGACGTGAATCAAGCAAACCCCCTCCTGGTCGGCGTGCCGCCGAGCTATATGAATGAAACGGCCAGCAAGTGAGAGAGTAAAAAGATCTGGAGTGAGTGACAAGAGATCGAAGCCGCGCCGCGAACGTCGAGACATTGTTGCGCTGGCATTGTTTAAATAAAAAAAGAATAACGTGATGCATGTTTTTAGAATCTCAATCAGTTTGAATCAATATAATTAAAGTACAGGCTCCATTTTCCAATAAACAAAGATTGAGTTATGAATTATGATTTTCACATGATTTAGATTTGAAGCTCCAAAAAATATTTGTGTATAAATACACATAAGTTAAAATGATTTATTACTAGGCAAATAAGTTTAGAAAGTTACAAATTACAAAATTTAGTCAGTGACATAAAATTAAAAACTTAAAATAAAAAATTTAAAATAATAACTAAAATAAATATTACATTTAAAATTTAACTAATTGAAAAAATATGATAAATATTATGAATATTTTTAATTTTTAATATTGTAATTTTTTATAAACCAACTAGTTTAACGATTCTTTCAAGGAAATGAAAGAATTATTAGGTTTTTGTGTCTTTTAATAATTAAAAACAAATTAACTAACTATTATTACTATTATTTTTTTATTCTTAATTTAAATCAGTACGAACAATTATTATCTTACTGTTTTTACATTTTATCCAATACAATTTGATGAAATTAATTATTGTTTACTTGTTCGCATTGAGATGGGCTCGGAGCCAAGTTGCTTTGGATAAACCGCGTGCAAAGCAACATTGTTGGGCGGATCTGGCGGCTCTTGAAAATAGAAAGCGCTCCCTGCCTCACTCTCGACATTCCCTTTCCGCCTTTCGAGTATGCACTTTGAATCAAGGGCCAAAGCGGCGAGTGCATTAATACCAAGCGAGTAATTCAGAAATAATCGAACGCAAAAATAGAAGAGTTAAGCAAGCTTCAAAGGAAATCGACCGAACGCTGGAGAGATCAGCTTTAAGTCGCCGAGCTTGTACAAGTGATAGTGAAAACTGGCACGAAAAGTGGAGCTCTTTCCGATGCAAATGTACAAAAATCTGTGGGAAATAATCGAGTTAAATCGGATTAAGTGAGTCAGTGCGACGGAATCTGTAGCCAAGATGTCGAGAGAGACCGCGTGGCGCGGAGCAGGCGAATGCGGGGTGGACCCTCTATCTGAATTCGCATTTCTTTATCGGCACGTTGCCTGATCGAAAAACTTTCTTGCTCTCGCCAAGAAGGATTTTAACTGCGCAGCAAATTCTGGCAAGTTGGAAAAAAAATAACAAATTATAATTTAAATATAAATCAGACCGGCGTTGATTGAAAAAAAAATTAATTTCCAGAGTAAAAAATTGATTTAATCTATTTCATTTACATAAAAAATAAATTATTCAATTAATTTATTAGTGAAAAACACAAAACATTAAAATTATTAACGACATTTCAAAAGACTTTCACTCAACAGTCTGTTAGTTTTAATTTTTTTAATTTGGTGTTGAAAACAAAACAACAAAAACACGGCGGTGCGGCTTACCGTCCGTAAAAGAACTCTTCCTTTCTGCAAAAAGAGAGAAGCGAAAATTAGAGCAAGAGCGCGAGCAGGGGGTGGGTGAGTGGGTGGTCTGGCGGTCGGGCGGGCGGCGGCGGCACGGGTACGTTTGAAGGTGGAAGATAAGTCGCACACGTGGAGCACTTGTAACCTCCAATCCATACTCCTCCCCTATATTCGTCTCGCCTGATTCGCGTGTCTGCCGATTGAAAAATCTATAACCGCCGCCCGTCCGACCCACCGCCGCTTCCCGACCCGTAACTGCCGCCTAATTACTCTCGCGGATATATTTTGCACGCCGTTCGTCGTCGCCGCCGCCACGCCAAACTGCTCCAGACCGCAGTCTTTTGGGTTTGCGGCCGAGCCGACGTCTCTCACTCTCGCTCGCAATTGTCTCACGATTCATCCCAAAGCAAGCATAACTTAAAAAAATGGCCTAATTGAAGTTTTATTTTTAATAATAGGATCTGATTCAAACGCATAAAGATCATATTAGAAAATCCTATGCAGACCACAAAACATTGAAGTTTTCTCCTTCTGGCAAAAAATTGTTATTGAATTTTAATTGAATTGAATTGAAAATTAACACACTAAAATTGCTTGGAATTTAACAGTTTTAATTTTTTTTTACCAAACTTAAAATTTCAATGATAAACAGAAAATAATCACTACAATAATGTCCGCAGCAAAAATTTAAATCTGTCTTACCACGAGCTTAAGGACATAATTAAATACGGACAATTTTAGGCACTTTAATTACAATCGTTAAAAAATTCTCTGCAGTTTATCAAGTTTCAACTAATTTACTTCGACATTTAGGGAGCATAGAATTTTAAATTTTATTATTCTGCCTGTTGAGATGATTGTTCATTATTATTATTTTATTTCAATTCAAAGTAAGTTTGGAAAGATTTTGTAGGTTTAAACGTTTTAAAATTAATACGAAAACATTGTTAAATGTTTAGTTTAAAACATAAAATTAAATTTAGTTAAAGATATGAACTTTTATTGAAAAAATGTCGAAAATAAACTGGAAAAATCAATTAAATATTGTTACAAATGATCGAAAAATCGGTGAGAGAAGCAACAAATTCGTTCACCCTCTCCGACTCCGCGCGCAGCAGCAACAGTTTACGCCTTTCTTTCTACATAGCTGAGCGGAAAACTGCAACACTTGGCAATATACTATATATTTGATCTTCTTCCTACTTTATTAAAATCGTCAAAGCTACAAATTTACACTTCCGGTTATTTAAATAAGAAGCAGAATCAGGACAATATTTTATGACGCCCGATCTGGATGCAACCGGGAGAGCATCTGTGCGTTGCAGATCGTCTCCGGTCTACTTTCAGGAGATCCACTGCGTGCGCGCGCCTTTTCAACCTGTTTGTTCTCCTCTCGCTATTTTTAAGCTCATTTCGACTTGTGGAAGCTCGTCGAGTGCACCACAAGCTGCACCGACCGTGTGCATTATTAGCAAAGGAGTAAGAAGAAGTGCTCTCGAAACGTGACACAGGTGCTAATCTCAAGCCCTGCTCGACCACCATTGACATGATCAATCTCATCATTCACAAATTTAGAGACGAGATATAATTTACTACAAATATTTAATGAAATAAAATTTAGCTAATCAATCTAAAAGATAAAACTTAACTAGAATAATTTATTTTGAATAAGTTTTCGTAACTCGCAATAAAATTTATATAAACCTCTTCTCGTTAATTTCTAGAATCGCAAAAATTAATTAAAAATTTTCAAATTAAAGACTCTTGTTTAAATCCTTTTGCCTATTTTTCTCCCAACCCATTGATTATCCGACTTGTTCGGAGAAAAATAATGAATTGGAATTTAAAACTTACTTCATTTTGTTTATTCTGTTTGATTTTGAAACTCCCAAATTATTTGTATTCTTTAATATATTAAGAGAAAATTTTAAAGTGAAAATAAGGGAAGCCCGGAACCAAAATAAAGAAAGGATTCACTCACGAGTCGCGTTGCAGATTATCGACGGGGGTGGTCTCGTTGCCCTCGATGATCTCGGTGGAGGTGCTCGAGTCGGCCGTGATCGAGTTGTCCTCAAACTCGGCCGTCTGCCTGGCCGCGGCCACGATCGCCGATTCGCCGGCGGAAGGGGTTGGTGTCGTGGTGGACGACGAGGAGACGACGGTGGCCGTCGGCAGGGCGGCCGCGGAGGCGGCCACGATCGCCACCGTCAGGAGGAGCGACAGCGCGGCGGGCATGGTGCTGAATAATTGGTTCCGAAGAAGCTTCGGCGATAAAGAGACGATGAGGGGAGTTCGCGCCCCGCGAGAAGTCGGTCGGTGAGTAAGTAAGTAGTTGTGTTTCCCGGTCAGCCGATCGCGAGTGGAGCGCGCGAGAGAAATGCGAGTGTGATTCGGAGGCCGCATCTTTTTCTGCCAATTTATACCTTGGTGTCGCGCGGGTAGTGGGAGAGTCGGAGCGAGAGAGAGAGAGAGAATTCTCTCTCTCTTCTTCAAGCCTGAGCGTTCGAGTCGTGCGCCCGCCGCCCCCACATGAGGAGGGATGCTGAGGAGCATTTAAAGGACCCAAGAAAAAAATTATTTGCAAAATTTAGGCCGAAAATATTTGAAAATCGGACCACAATCAATAAATTGTTCAGAAAATCTTTTTTCTTAAAAAAAAACTTCAGCTGCAATAAGGTTAATTTGTTTTCAGTGTTCATAATTAAACTATATGTTTAATACAATTTGATTTAATCTTATGCTTTTACTTGAGTAAAATAATCAAAAAATTCTAATCACTGATAAATATTAAATAAATTGTAAAATGTTTTATGTGGATCTTTTGAGCATATTAAAAAAAATATTAGCGCTGTGAAAACACAAAATAAATAATTACATACATTATTAAATGCGTTAACTATCTCATTTAACAAAAATAATTAGTGCTCTTAAAAAGTTTAAATTCATTTATATATTTAATTATAATTTTTAATTTATTATTTTATAATTTATAAATTTTTAGATACTTATTATTGTTTTTATTTATTAATTCTAATTTAAAACAAATATAATAATTACACCAGTATAAATAATGTAAGCTTCACAAACAGAGTTAACTATGAGTTCAATAGGACAATATCAAATTCTTCGTATGGGGTGTACAGATATAGCATGATTATGACAATTAAATATAAGAAAAGCATCATTGAAATTTTAAGATAATTAATCTTGATTAAAAAACCAAAATATAATAGAAAATTAAGATCAACAAACAAAAATTTAAGAGTCAACAAGACTCATTGTCAGTTCTAGTTAACGGTTGCTGTCTTTTCCTCAACATAAAATTTTTAAGATTACTTTCGTTAATTAACAGCTTGATTATTTTCAATTTATCTTAAATTTTTTTATTATTATTGACAGCAAAATCATTTTGTGTGTAAGCTTAAAACATTTCATTTCAAAATAACGAGCACTTCAGAGTAAGCAGACTGGAATCCGGTCAATTATGCAGGAAAATGAAGTGCACGGCGTGTCACTGCTTTTCAGGCACGTGTTTTTTTTTCGTTAAATCGCGGATATATGTATGTGCGGCTGGTGCAAGACATCAAGTGCACGGTGAACGGCGTTTTACGGCTGATTATG